ATTTAGCTTCAGAAGATTGAGGGAGCACCATGCAACCAAATTGTTCAAATCACTTTGAAGATGATGTGATTGCGATTCTACGGAAAAAGAAGTAAACAGTTTCACATCATCAGCATACATTAAAATCTTACTGAATTTAATCACGGAGGGCAAATCATTGATGTAAAGATTAAATAAAATAGGTCCCAAGTGGCTACCTTGAGGTACGCCAGACGTCACGGGAAATTCATCCGAGGTAATGAGGTTAAACAAAACCCTGAATGATCTACCATACAGATAAGAGCTTAACCATTCAACTAAGAAGAGAGGAAAGCCAGAGGTCTGGATTTTAAATCTAAGAAGTCTATGATTAACCATATCAAACGCCTTGCTACAGTCGGTGTAAATGACATCAGTGCGAGAACTACTAGAAAAAGCCTTGAAAACATGAGAAGTAAACTCCAACAGATTGGTCACCGTAGATCTTCCCTTTCGAAAACCATGCTGGAAAGGAGAAATATACAATTTCATGGAAAAGGCTATATGCTGAGCCACAATTCGCTCGAACAGTTTAGGTAAGACACTCAACTTGGCGATGCCTCTGTAGTTCTCTACAAGTTGCCTACTACCACTTTTGTGAATAGGAATAAGGAAAGAAGACTTCCAACACAAAGGGAAAACACCTAAATTCAAAGACTTATTAAAAATCTTTGAGATAACATCACAAAACTCGCCAGCACAAGATATAAGTACACATGAGGGGATCCCATCGGGTCCAGGCGAACAATTATATTTCAGAGAGTTCAATCCTTCAAAAACGTCATTTTCCGATATAACAAAGTTAGGAATTGAATCCGAATTAGAAATCGAATATGGATAATTTTCCGATAAATCAAAATTGGCAGTTGAAAAGTTCTGTCGGAAGTATTCCGCAAAGAGATTTGAGGATTCAAAATCATCCGAGGACTCGGAGCCATTAAAAGACACAAACGACGGATTTATGGAGATTTTTCTTTTGGAATTAACGAACTTAAAAAAGTATTTAGGGTTAGAAAACAAGGAGGATTTAACAAACTGAAGGTATCTGCAGTAGTATTGGCGGTTGAGGGAATTAAATTTATGCCTTGCAACAGAGTAAGCGAAATAGTCGAAAGAAGAACCACTTTTCGAAAATTTTTTGAACAACTTGTTTTTCCTATTCTTGTAGTATTTAATTGTCTTATTAAACCACGGGGGATCCTTACTTCGAGGACGGGACTGCATGATCGGAACGGATGCAGAAATAGCTTGATTTAATACATTGTAGAACAACGACAGTAAGCTATCAATGCTTCCCTCAGAGAAATCGAGCACAAAATGAGAAAGATGTGATTTTAGTATGGAAACATTGATTTTATGGAAATCATAACGTTGATATGAAAAATTTGAATTTGGAACGTTATAGAGGTTCAACGAACCAACATACTTGTAATGAAAGGAAACACCCAATGTTGGATGATATGGATCCTCAGGTAAACTAAACGGACAACAACGATTAACGCAAACCTCAGGAAAATTTGCAAAGCAGAGATCAAGAAATCTCCCATTACAATTAGGGGTACCATTGTATTGAACTAAATTATTATCAAATAATTCATTGAAGAACACAACGGCTTTATCAGATGTTGAGGAAGGAATCAAACAGCCAGAACTATCACTGTAAAACCAATTGACTTGAGGCAAGTTGAAGTCACCCAACGCAAGGACTATATCGGTAGGTTTAGATTGCTTGGCCACTTCACAAATGAGGGCGGCCTGTTTCTTATATACAGAGATATCCGAATTTGGGGGAATATAGGAGCAGGTCACATATAAGTGTTTGTTAGGAAATTTCACTCGAATGGCGATAAATTCAACATCGGGAGTAGTTGGAAATTCAAACGAATAGGTGGGGAGTGCCGTAGAAATAGCAATTAAAACACCACCACCATTGCGATACAAACGATCGTTTCTGAAAACTTGAAACGAATTATGGAAAAGTTCCGACGAATGTAGAACTGGTTTCAGCCATGTTTCAGTGAAGACCAGACAGGAAAACTCCGTACTCACTGAATTTAGGAAGGTAGAACGAATTTTTGAGTTTAGGCCCCTAACATTTTGATAAATGAGAGAAAATGAGGCTGAAGAAGTATTTAGTTTTTTGAAGGGGAAAGAGCTAATGCATTCGCATTACGGGGTCGGTCCCGAGGGATAAATTCCTTAATTAATGATCCAACCGGCCACAAAGTTTTATTTAAAATCAAATCTATATTTTCGGTCGGAACTAGAATTTTAAAAGATGAAATAGCTCTAGATTGAGAAGGACCCAGTTTGAAAATACTAACTCGCTTTAAATTGACAGAAGGGGCTTTTGCAGCCAGATAACCCCTTATGTTTTCAACAGATGTATCTGGTGCCAGTCTTGACACAAATATGGCCTTTCTGGGAGGAACTGCCTTCAAGCATATGTCATCAGTACTGGGAGCAGCAGGGTTAACGGATGGGGAGTTATGAGTTGGGGAAAATATAGAGGGGGTAACCACACTTGCACGAGCAGCTTGCTCAGTTTGGCGACCAGCATTTACACCCGAACAGCGAGGAGGAGAGGACGATTTACTATTACCTTTATTAGTTTTGGGCGATGACGCCTGAGAAGATTGAGTGACATCTATGGGAGGAGATACCCTTGCCACTTCAGCATAGCTCAAGCCAGAAGGACTTCTCGGACTATTTGTAACATCTATGTTACCAACCGACTCAGCCGTAGCAGAAACACTAACATTATTTGTAGCCTTTAGGGAATCGCTAACTTGCACCAACGAAACGGACTTAGGAGGTGACGAACCACACGCTACGCTACGCGTTGAGACTACGTTAGCTGGTGAGGAAGATGACTGCGAAATATACCGACATTCATCAAACCTAGTCTTGATTAATTCAAACTTCTCCCACACAGAGCCGAGATTTTTGCTCAAATCTGAGAAACAATTTCTCGTCCCTGTGAAGAGTTTGTAGAAATCAATGTCCCGCTTTCTACAGTCAGGACATGACCATCGTAAACCTTTAGAAGGGTCAAGGACTGCATCAGCAGCACGGCCGGTAATACCAGCACACTTTGCATGTCCAAAACGATCACACAACCAGCAAGAAATGAATCGTTCAGATTCAGGGCCAGTTTTCGCACGACATGGAGTAAATAAACAATCCATGTCCATTGAAAACAAAATAAGTAGCTTATGAAGGAAAAAAAAACGAAAAAGAAAAACAAAAAAAAAAAAAAAAATTTTTTCGACGGCACAAATTTTCAGGAAAATTAAAGCAAATTTCTAACTTCCCTGCCCACTGTAAATATAGAGCGAAAACTAACGGAAACTGTAAACACAGATTAAAAGGCAAAAAGAGAGACTTTTACCAAGAGCTCAATTGTTGCTTACAATAAACCAAAATGATTTTTTCACATATATGGTTAATAAATTCATATACAATAAATTCACACTTTATTCTTTTAGAGAATTTTTTAAATTTAAACACGAATAAAGCAAAAAGCTAAGAAATACAACTAAAAAAATTTTAATATTTGATGATAGAATAAAAACGCGACTACAAGACACGCGCAGAGTTGCCAAACTTGGTCTCCTGGTCTGCCTCCTACTTGTGCGGTGGTAGATGCTACAGGACGGGTTCTTCTCAACCACATATTTCACGAAAGTACTTCAACTTTCACAGCCGAAGCCAGAGCTATCCTTCACGCTGCCAACCTTGCCCATAAAAACAAACACAAAAGCGCTATTGTTACCGACAGTTTGTCTGTATTACAAGCTGTTCGGAATCCTTCGACTTCGAGATGGAGCACCATCAACAAATTAAGGAATATAATTACTACACCCGACGGAAAAATTAAAATGTTATGGGTACTAAGTCACATCGGTTTACTGGGAAATGAGCAGGCGGATTTAGCGGCAAAGTATGCTGCTTCTGCTCCTCTAATTATGGATGATGTCATGGAAAAGTTGGATCTTCAAAGTTACATTGGAAGAAAATTTAAAGAGAAAATTACAGAAGGAAATTTACAACACCATCATCAACACTACTCTTTTATTAACCCTCAATTAACTCCACCTCTATATCCAACAAATGTTGAGAAAACCAAGATCCAAACATTTTCGAGAATTCGCCTTGGTCATACAATTGCAACTCACCAATGGATCCTGAGAAGTCTTCTTCCCCAATCTGCTGCAGCACATTCTCTGCGATTGCCTCAAATTTTCCTCGGCTAGAAGTATTGCATTTGGAACGATTAACCCTTTGAACATTCTACAATCAGCTTCAGAACAGAATATCAATTCAATATATTACTTTTTTAATACTACTAAGTTCACTATCTAATATCCATTTATTTAAATTAGAGCCGATAGCCTGTGTTGCTAGTGCTCAATGTCCTTTTTTTAGTCTAAGAATTCATTTCATTAGTCTAAAATTAAAATAATAATAATAATAATAATGTATAATTCTGTAGCAAAGAAAAAAAAAAGAAAAACAAACATTTTTTCGCACTTTACCTGGCTGAGTATTGCATTTCGTAATGTAATATGATGCCAGGCGCCGCAATCAAAAAATTAGCATTTTTGTTAAGGTAAGCATGATTTTGTATAGAAATTAAGTATAAATAGTGCACCTTTTAATAAAGAACTCAATTGTTATCAAGCAATTCAAAATAAGAAACGTATTAATCCGCTGAAATCTCCAAGGCGTTCAATCCACTAGAACCATAAAGTTTAAAGTCTCTTGCGAGATTCATTGGCAAATCTATGAGACGCAAAGGCTTGGCGTTCTGATGCCAAAACACAGTCGCTCAAATACTGTCACACGATAAATACCACCTAAATACTTGCTGTCAAACACCAACTTTAATTTTCTCCACAGTATATAATTCCTACTAACTGGTTTTTTTCAGTGTTTACTGTGAATTTAACATATGTTTTGCGGCTTTTAATAATGGCAACACCTATTTTCTTTTTATATACAAATAAAATTTTTTTCTCTATCGCTTTGTTTACGTTTGTTTTAAAGCTAGCTGAAGTTTACAATTTTTCTATCCACTATCACATGGGATTATTGTAGAAGTCCTCTGTCCGAGTATCTATAAGCAACGTAAGGTCGTGTCAACGTCTGCCTTTCGCCCCAAACAAAAATAACAAAAGGTAAATAAAATTGACTGAATATCAACAATGCCGAAAACATCAACTGAACGCTCAAGAGAATGTCGTGAACGGAGACGTGCGAGGAATCCACCAAGAAAGCCGCCTAAAACTGGGGCCGAACGTGTGAGAGAGTTTAGAGCTAGGCAAAAAGAATTAAAAAATGTGGAAGAATCAGAAAGATGTCGATCATGCTTAGCAATCGCACCTAGTTATCAATCGCTAAAAAAAGTTATTAACGGAATGGATGCTCAACCAAAAACTTACGGTGAACTGTTGAAAGATTTGCTACAAATTAACGTAAGTTTCAATTTGTAGAATTTATAGAATTTGTTTGCTATATAATTTGCATTTGGTGTCTTATTTAGAATGTTGTTGCTCCAGAGGAATTACTGCCTCAGATGATTTGTAGAAAATGTACTAATTTACTAAAGAATATCTATACATTTATCAGCGAAGCTCGCGAGCGACACGAAGAGCTTTTAGGACACTTGAGCAATGTTAACCACTATAATTTGACGGAAAGCACATTTCACGATATGTGTCAATTAGATGAAATGCAAATTAAAATCGAACCTGAAAAACTCGAATCACCGCATAATTTAGTAGAATTAATGGAAATATCTATTAAAGGAGAAAGCGAATCGAACGAAACATCAAATAAGCCAGAAATGCTAATTGAGACAGAATTGGAAGAAGCTCTTGTAATAGGGGACAGAAGCGAATCCAGTGACACTTCCTTAAACTGTGATCATAATGATATTAAAGTAGAGGATTATATCATCAGGTAAATTTGCAAATGCAGTTTAAAAACTATTCATTACTAACAGTTCACTTAAGTAATTGTCGCTTGAAAGGTACATGCAGTGGTACCACGACGGCAAGTGATGATGAAAAGCACGATTCCGACTTGCCGCAAATTTGTGATAATTGTAATAAGGTCTTTTACAATATAAAAACCTTAAAAGCTCACAAGTTTTCTTGTTGTGCAATGGAAGGAAAGACGACCTCTTGTGAGTTGTGTAATTTCCGGACTACCCGTAAGACTGAGATGATATATCATTTGAAAGCAACACATAATTTAGAAGGAATAACACCATACTTCAAACGAATATTCTGTTGCGCTAAATGTCCAAAGCGCTATAGTAACAAAAATGATCTGCATAGACATGCAAAAAGAGCACATTTTAAAGGTGAAACAAAAAAACCACCTTTTATTTGCTCGTCTTGCGGTAAATCGTATTTTAGCGAACACAGATTAGTGAAACATAGCCGCCTTCATACCCATGATATGCCGTTTAAATGTGGTTTCTGCAAAAAGGTCTTCAGAAGAGTAGATGCCCTAAAATGTCATCTATTAGAACACAGTAATGGAAACTTGCATACCTGTACGGAGTGTGGTAAATTATTTAAAAGAAAGGACAATCTACGCGTACATATGCGTGTCCATTCTGGGCTACGTCCTTACAAGTGCGATGAATGCGAGAAAGCATTTAAGTATATGTCCGGATTCAAAAAACATGTAAAAACTCACGCTAAGGTTATCAATAATTGATATGTAAAATATGCAAATTTTGAGCGAAAAAATTCTCTCGCTTGCCAAATTTGATTTAGGCCTGCTTTATTTCCCCTTTTAAGGTTGACTCACATGAAACGCGGTGTTACTTGGCACATCTGAGAATAAGCGTCTATGATTCTCAATAATTTGTATAAAACTTGCCTGCATCTGAGAATAAGCGTATAAAAATTCCCTACATCTAAGAATAAGTGAATATGATTCTCAATAATTTGTATAAAAATTCCAAACATCTGAGAACAAGCGTCCACATTTGTTTACAATTTTCAATACTTGAACATGTATAAAAATTAAGTTCGCCTGTGAGGCCCGTCGTCTGTATTGTTTGCTGTTCGTTGGTCCATTCGTATTCCGTCAGTGCACATTTCCTGTCCCCTATCCTCACTCACGCGCACACCAACCCATACATCGCTTAGTTACGCATTATTCTTTTTTTCGGTTACTGTATTTTATTTTTTCCTTTTTTTTCTTTTAATGTATCATATCATACATGTTAATAAAGAAGACAAAAAAATTAAAATGAAAAAAAAACTGCGACCTGATTCCTTGTTGGTCATTTAGCGACATCATGGTCACTGCTTCACTGGTTGACTGCAGTAGGAGAAAAGTTTGTTGCACGCTTTCACCAACTCCCCAATTTTTTTCGCCTCTTCCTCGTTTGTAGGGTATATGGTAAAGAATAACTTTATGCAAGGTGGTTTAAGAAATCAATTCCCTGCATAAAAGCGTTGGCCAATCTCCATAATTTTGTCTTAATGATTTTTATAAATTCTTTGTGTCTTTCTTCGACAGCATAACACTGACCCTTTCGACGGCACAACTCTGACTAACTCTACAGCACCAAACTCATTCTTTAACAACGCTAAAACTAACCGACCTTTCCAATCCAAAAACTACGTGATTTTTTCTAGTACAAAAACTAACTGACTTTTATTCAAAGCATCAGGGAAGAAATGTTCTTGACTTACACAGATGGGATTTGGAGTTTTCCTCTTTTCATAGTTCTCTCTGGCATAATAGCGTTATGAAGAGAGAGATAGGGCCAGTTATGAACAGATGCGTTTGCATAACAGTAGGCCGTTATTCTTGCAAATGTGGTTTTTGCATAATGGCAGGCCGTTATTACGGTCTTACTTACTCTACTGTAGTAGAAGAGTGGTCAAAGCAGACCGACGGAACCCCTACGCTACAAATATATGCGGCCGTTACAAGTAAGTAAGTTCAAGTAAAAAGAAAGTACTAGACTTATACAACATGTTGGTTTTGACTGGCCACTTTCCCTACATATGAAACTGGCAGCGGTTGTTCCAATTTCAAAGTATAAAAATATCTCCATTATCTCTTTTATCTTGCCTCTCAAAAAAATTGGAAAATATTATGGCGTCTAGATTATCTTGATTTCTTGCGTACAAGAACCTGATTACAAAACAACAAGTTGCTTTCGAGAGGGGTAGAGGGTGTACCAACGCTTCTTTTCATATTGATTATTTTACAAGCAAAGCAATTTCCGAACGGAATCATGTCACAATTCTCTCAACAGATTTCGAAAAAGCATTTAACAGAGTTGGTGTTCACGTTATTTTAAGACTCTTGAAATCATGGAATGTTGCACCCAAATTCTTCAACTACATCAAATCATTCAAGTCGCATTGGCGGTTTAAAGTTAGAATCAACAATCATCTGTCTGATTCCTTTCCGCTAATGAATGGCATTCCGCAAGGATCTCCTCTTGCTGTCACGCTTTTCCAGATCGCTTTAAACGAAATTAGCAAAATACTTTGCCATGTGTCGAAAATCGAACATTGTCTCTACGCGGACGATGTTAATATTTTCACAAAAGAAAAAGATATCACGAAGACAATCAACATCCTCTATTCTAATCTATTGGACGAGAGATCTCCACATGAGCAAACTCTTCAGGGGCTAGAATTTCTGTACAAAAATCAAAAAAATGCATATTTGTCGAAAGCAGATATGCGATGCAGGAAATCTATTGACGCATATTAATGACTTACCAGTATACAACGTGCAGACGCTCCATATTCTCGGGCTCACGATTTCCAACAAATATCGTTGGAAAACACACTGTCTTCGGTTAAGAAATCCTATTTTAACAAGGGTGAATTTCATTTCTGGTCTGCCATCTGCTTGTGCCATGGTAGATAGATGATGTCATGGAAAAGTTGCATTTTCAAAAATATATTGAAAGAAAAGTTAAAGAGAAAATTGCAGAAGGAAATCTACAATCCTATCGCCTGCACTACTCTTCTATTAACCCTCAATTAATTCACCTTTATACCCAGCAAATGTTGAGAAAATCGAGATCTAAACATTTTCGAGAATTCGCCTTGGCCATACAACTCACCAATGGATACTGAAGAAGTCTTCCTCTCCAATTTGCAATTGTGGACAAATTGTCACTATAAAGCACATTCTCATGACTGCCTTAACTTTTCCTTGGCTAGAAGTATTACCTTTGGAGCGACTAATCCTATGGACATTCTACAATCAGCTACAGAACAGAATATCAATTCAATATATTACTTTATTAAAAGTACTAGGCTCAATATCTAATGTACTTTTATAAATTACAGCCGAAAGCCTGCGTTGCTAGCTCAATGTCTTTATTTTTTAGTCTAAGAACTTATTTCATTACTTTAAAATTATAATAATTCTTTAGCTTTACCTTTACTCTGCTGCGTTGGCGCTCCGCTGTCAGCTACTATCCTTGGCTTTGATTTGTAGCGATTTGCCGCCTCAGAACTTCCATTTTAAGGCGCCGAATCCCCTCCGTCAGTCCTGCCTGCGCTGATGTTGATGGTCCATCGTAAACGTTTAAATAATGAAATTTCTAACGGGGCATTCAGATGGCATACTAGACGTAATAGCTTCTGCCTGGTCTACTCAAATTGAACTGCGAGTTTCTTCTAGTTTCCTCTCTGTCTCGTCTACTAAAATTGGAACCGCGAGCTTCTTTCAGCTCCCCATCTATCTGGTCTACTAAAATTGAACTGCGAGTTCCTCTCGCAGAGTTCCTTTTCGCACTCCGTGTTTTTCCGTCTCCTAGTAGTTGGTCTGTCATTATCTTCGTCGCAGGTAATTCGTGATACTGTATTTTACACCCCCTACGTCCGTAAATACCCGACAACTTGGAGTATTTGTACAGAAAGCTACTGAAAACGTTGTTTGCTATGTACGCCATATACAATACAAAATAGAATAATATAAAATAAATATATACTAAATAAATTAATAATATAAAATTATGAATATAAAATAACCTGAAAAGAAAATGGAGAAAACTATTACAAACGGTACATAAAAAAACTAAGAACCTAGTTATCAAGTTAAGTTAAATTTAATACGATAGATTTAAATATAAATAAAACGACGTTAAAAATTTTTTTCGATTAAATTTTTATAGTTTTACATTTTTACATAAATTTTTACATTATTCCACAAATTATATACTAAATGGAAGTTCATTTCATTTTATTATAGTAAATAATAATAATAGACTAAATTAATTAGACTAAAGAATACTTCTATTATCTGGAATCCCTTCTGATCAATTAGAGTTGAATGAATAAAATTGTTTGTTTTTTTTTTTTTAAATATTCACTTAATATCATATGCTGCTTTAAAGGGAACACTTTAGAGTTATAATCGACCGCTAAAGGTTCCTTTAAACGAATGATTTATAAATTTATAGAGTTCGATTGTTACTTAAATTTAATATTAAATCCATTTTTAAATGCATACGATTTTTTCATAAGAACTGCTTTTAATGTTTTTAATTATGAATCCAATAATGTTTTTTCTGTTTAGTTATTTATGCATATGTGTATCTAAAATCAATTTCTTAGCTCAATAGCATCAACCGAAACAACTTAAGTTTTCAAGTAATGGTCGATTTAGGCAATAAAGGTTAAATAGTTTACCTTTCTTTTATCCTATAGACATTATATTTCATTTCAATAAGCGTGTTCTGTAAATAGTTAAAATCCAAAAAAAATTTTTTTAAGCATCTAGTGTACAAATAAACTGATTTAAGCAATAAAGGTTAATTAGTTTAGAAAACTAGCTCGAATCCATACCCAATTGAAATTATTAGAAAATGTTAGAAAAATGACGTGGTGGAGCTTTAACAAAATAAAGATGTCGCAGAAATGCAATTATACAAATTCATTTGTTTTCTGTTCTAAAACTTTGTATAAAAGTAAAGTAATTTACTTTTTTTTTCCGAAACTCTTCTTATAACTATTCAAAAAAATATACAATTAAGGTGTAGTATACCCACGTCCTATTATTCTAAAAATATGAAAATTTCATTTATTGACGTTTATGTAACGTCGAAGCCGTCAAGGACTATTATAGTAGACTATAATATCTGCCATCTAATATCCAGTTAATATTCATTTACCATTCTTCGTATTCCAGCTTTGAAATTTATTCCATAATTTATAATCCGTTGTTGTTATTATTATTACATGATACATACACAGTGAGGTTGACATGACTAAAACGATTATGAACTTTATTTTCACTATTCGCGCATGAGAGTCGTATTCAAAACGATAAACGATAAAAGCCTTTCCGCAAATCGAACAAAACTTGAGCTTAGCGAACGAAATATCTGCTAGCCCCGCAACTCCCTCCTGAAAATGCAAATTAATTCTCCATAAAAAGCTCAACAATTTCATCTTTCCCTTTCCAAGATGAAGAAATAAGTTAATTTTTCTTCATCACCCTATTATCGATGCGTTAATTGCTGATACTTGAAAATCAGCCAAAATCGTTTCTAATCAGATATATGAAATTTCTGTGTTTCAAATGCGTCTAAAGTGTTTCAAAATTAGTAAGAGGAGGTTTTATTTGAAAGAAAACAAATAAGAAAGTTATATTCGAGTCGGGCCAAAGCTGGCATTCCCACCAGCTTTTAAATCTTTAGCGTCCTATGCTTTTATTTACAGGTATAAATATATGAACTTACCTTCCACCTTTAAGTTCATTAAAATAAAAGCTTTCGCACCAACTTGCGTGCAAGAACAATAAGTGATATATTTGCGCATTTATTACACATTGCAACTCTGAGAAGGATTTTCTTCCGCTTCATTCTTCACTTGCACTCACACAAGCGAATCGAAATTTTAGAAAGAACCACCCTTTTATTTTTTCAACTCGTAAGCTTTTTTTGCGAAATACTGGCGAAATACCGAAGCCTAAGCCCGACAGTAAGAATAGCCCTCTATATTTTAATAAATTATTTTCTTTTTTCTAAGGATCCCTAAAATTTTTTTTTTAATTTCATAACTTTTTGGGTTTTTTCTTATTTCAGTTTATGTAAATGTTTTACGAACTTCTTCTTCTAATTTTTAACCGCTTTAATTTCTATTTTTAAAATTTTTTACACAATTATTTACTTCGCACAATTTTTCTCGCTAAAAGCCGTTAGCTGGTTTTTTCCTTTAAAAAAGTACCATTTGTTGGGAATGGAAAGAGCACAGAGTTGCTTTGAATAAATAAATTACAACGTTGCAATTCTGTTAAAGTGGTCAAAATTTTCGCTGAACTTCTGTTAAATGAGACATTATCGTTGGAATTCTAATAAATGAGAAATTTCCGCTACAATTTTATTAAATAAGAATTTGAGGATTATTCATTAGAACGTTTGTATTATCAACTGATTTCTATTGACATTAAGTTCGATTGCTTTAAACAAACCCAATTACGCCAAATTAATTAAAAAATCCCATATGCAATTAAACACTTGTAAAGCTCTATTTTCTAATAAAATAATTTATTACTCTCTATTTTTTATTTTAGGGGCATTACCGTAATAAGGTAAAAGTTGTAGTAATAGAATTTGGATCGAATTAATCATAGTCGATTGGTTTTTGCTCACGGTATCTCCGTCTCTGGTGGGGGAGAGAGAGTGCTAGTTTAAGTTAGGGAGTAAGGAATATAGTAAGAATAGAATAAGAATAGAATAGAAGCAGAATAAGAAAAGATTGCGAGTAAAGTAAGAATAGAATTAGAATAGGGTTAGGATATAGAATAAGAATAGGTTAAGACTACGGTAGAGTAGAATAAGTTAGAATAATTTAGGGGAGTTTTAGTTTGACCGTCGCCGTGGATAGTTTTGTTTCAACGTCGTTGAGGGCGAGTCATAATAGTAATAACAAAAGTGAAATATAAAAATTGAACCGCTGAGCTGCCCCAGCCCCAAAGAATGGGCTGAAAGGCCCGCGCATGTGGCGCCCAAGCAGGGACCTTTATTTCAGAAAACGGGAGTGAAGTTTGCAGTGGAAAAAAAAGAAACGAACAAAATAAGAACTTCCATGTCAAAGCATGCGAATATAAACAAAACAGCATTGGACAAACAAAAGAAAAATATCTAAAAAAAAATAATAATAACAAAACAAAAATCGTGCTCGTGAGCAATAAAATAGCAAAAAAAAAGTTGTTTAATTTTGACTATGCGTTTAGACAAAAAAAACAATAAC